TGCTTCACGTGATATTTCTACTAATGACGTTAGTGAAAGTTAATGATCGATAATTAAATTAGAAATTTTTGAATGTACAAAGTCTAAAAATAGCAAAAAAAATAATACATAAATTAATTTAAATATTTTAAAATAGTACGTGGACCAATTTACACATAATAACAAGAGTTGAATATGACTCTTAATTTGGAGGAGAGAAAATATAACAACTTGTAAAAAATATGTTTAAAAATGTGTTATTAATGGTTTCAATTTTTGCACTTCAAAATAAATTTTGTAACCAAACAGATAACATTTTAAATATTTTTGACGAAAATAAAAACCAATATCTACTTCTTACATGTTTAAATACTAACACTAAAATATGTAAATTTTACAAAATAATTTTAATTTTTATTAAAAATTTATTTGGTCTTGCTTCTCTGTCAGCTGGTGGAATATTTATCTAGATTTCTTATTTGAAGACATTTTTTAATCAAATCATTTTAGTTTCCAATCAAACTAAGCAGGTAATAACAGTAAAATTGACACAATGTTAATCTTGGCTACTAGTGAATGTCTGGTGGTAGTCTATCCCAAATGTTTGTATGTAGCCCTTTACCACCAATCTTACTTTATATCTCTCGATTGCCTCATCTGTCTAGTATTTGATAGAAAAGATCCATTTGCATCCCATCAGTTCCTTGTCTTTGGGTAGATCCACCATTTCTCATGTATGGTTCTTTTTAAGTATATGTATTTCCACATTGATAGTATTTTTCCTTTTTCATAGGATAATACCTTAGATACTATGTTAAGGATAGATTTAGTATTTAAACTAATGTGAAAATTTTTATGGGTCAATAAACATTTATCAAATAACTCAAACTTTAATATATGATAAAGAGGCTATTCAATGCATATCTTGTATCTTTATGAAGGACAATAGATATACCATTATTAGACTACATAGGTTTTTTGGGAGTTATTTTAGCTCAATGATTAAGGTTAGATTCTTGGATTAGTTTAGGCTCAGTACTCGATATCTTTCTCCTTATATACACCTGAGAAAACCTAAGTTCTAATATGATCCCTTGAGTGGATGAATTTTATGGTGGCTTCTAAAGGTTTTTCTTGTGGTGATGGTGTTGGATGTGTGATAAAGGATTGTGTAAGGTGATAGGTTAGAGTATATTAAAAACTCTGCATCCTTATCTTCCAATATAGTCTTTCCCTAAAAGTAAGGTTGGGTGAAATAGAATTCATGTTCAACAAAAGTGACGTTCGTAGAATTTTAGGTAGACGGATGGTAACATTTATACCTTTTTTGATCGAATGAGTACCCTACAACATTCGAAAGCTCGAGGGTCAAGTTTTTCTCTTTGATGGGAATAAATATGAAAGAAAGCAACACACCTAAATATCTGAGAGGCCATATGGTTCGTGACATTTATTACTGAGTAAAATTTTTAAAGAGTTTATAGAGGACTTTTACAGTCAAGAACATTGGTGAGTAGTCGATTAATAATGTAGGCAATGGTAAGGACGACTTTTTCCCAATATTGTTTTGGGACACTGTTTTAGAAAATGAAAAATCTGATGGGAAGAATAATAGAAATATGTGATTAAAAAAATCATTGGTATTTGTTTGTGCAAAATCTTTCTAATGCCAATTTCGAATTGAATTTTTATCATGTTATGGAACTGGGGTTTGATATGGTTAACATAAAATTTGATTTTGAGTAAAAACAATCAGATGACTCTAGTATAATCATCAATAAATGACACAAATTATTAGATCCTTGAGTATGCGAGTTGGTCCCTAAATATCATTATGAATTAATGAAAATAAAAATACAATTTTTTTATTACTAATGTAAAATAATATTCATTTACGCAAGCTCACAGATATCCTATTGTAAACTTTCATATTCTAAATTTTTAAACAATAAGGGAAACATAACTTTTAAGATGAAAAACGATGGGTGTCCAAGTCTTTTATGGTGAAACTAAATCTTGTGTATGGAAGCAATAGTAATAGCAGAGAAGGATTTCCCAAGTGCATCCAAGTAGTAGAGTTCATTTATTGCTTCAACATGTTCAATCATCTTCTCTGAATTCTCGTTCTGAAAGTCATCGTGAAAAGGTTTAAATGTTATTTTACAATTTAAGTTTTGCGAAAATTTATTGATTGACACAAGATTAGTACACAATTTTAGAAACATGTAACACATTTTTTAAGACAAAGTAAAACTAAGCTTAATGTTACTCTTGTTTGAATAGTATTGAGAGATCTATTTGCAGTGATCATCTTCTTATTACTTAGATAGGGAACATATTTATGAAAATATTTGAAAGTGTTGATCATATGATTTATGCTCCTAAGTTTATAATCTAAGAATTTTCAAAAGGTTTATCTGAGAAATTTAAATTATGTGAAAAAGAAAATATACTCGAGTGTTTTGTTACACTTGTACTTGTGGCCTTCTCAAGGTCCTCCAATCAACTTTATAGTCATATCTTAACTTTAAAAGTAGTAAGATCAGCATGTGTTCTTTTTCTATTGGTTGGCTATATGAACTTGTTTGAAAATCTTCAACGAGATGCTTTTGTATCCTCACTCTTTTCTAGAGATACTAGGCTTGCCGTACAATTTCTAATACTTTTTTTTAGTGTGTCTAGACTTTTTACAAAAAATACACTAAAGATTGTCTTTGTTATTCATTCCAGAGTTGAGTTCTTAGAGTGAATCACTTCCTTTATTTGGTGACGAGGTTTCAGAGTTCGTAAAATCAGGGTTTAATTATCAATGGAGTAAGGTTCTAGAATTACCTCTCCCTTGCTCTCTTCTGCTATTACAATGGAAATTATCTCATTAAGTAATGATATTTTCTCTTTTTCCAATATCTAAACTTATATTTGATTATGTTCAAGATTTAGTCATGCCAAAAATTGATATGTACGATTTTTTTCTACAAATTTTTTAGACGGGCTGCATTTCTACTGCAATCCATTGTTAGGCTATGGTATTGGTCCAGTTTTTACAACTAATTTTTTAACATGTTAGAATATTTATTTATTGATCTGTGCTCTTATTTGGTAAATCATGTCTTGATTATTAGACCATAAATTTATGCGGCGTCCTTAACTTTGAAAAATGTTTTAGTGATTGCATCCCATACTGATTCTGTTGTGGGAAGGAACATTATAGTTTTACTGATTTCTAGAGCCATTGAGTTCTAGAGTCATACCATAATCATACAATCTTCTTTATCCCGCCATCTAATATGAAGTTTTCGAGTTTTGGTCTGGTACCCAAAAGGTTGCTGAGTTTGCCCTTTCCTTTGAGGGTGGTCCGGATTAATTGGGACCAACTTAGATACTGATGCAAGTTGAAGGATCCTGAAGGATCCTGGTGTCAGCCATGAGGGCTGGTTTGGCTGCTATTGGTGGCCCCTGGCAGTGACTGGTGGCTGGCCTAGTGGCTGGCGATGAAGGCTGACCTAACCTCTTCAGAGTTTTTATTTTTTTAATTATTCTTTTCTAATTTGGCAATAAAAGCTGAATAGGATTTATAAAAGAGTTTAAAATTTTTTTAATCTAGTACTTTGATATTATGTTTAGAATGGTTGGTATATATTTTAATGAATACTACAATATTATATATATAAGTTTTCTATATGGAAAAGAAAATAAACAATTTATTATAATTAATTACATAAAGTGTAATTTACTTATATATTGTTTAACCTAATTTATCATTTCTTTTACACTTTATATCTTTCTGATATTGATAATATTATCAAAAGTGGGGCTTCTTCTTTCTTTGTTAGTAAGATAAGCTAAACGTAGTTGACTTAGCAAAAATCCGGGTGCTGGGTTCAGTCCCCTTTTCTTCCCAGTTTTGTTGATTTATCCATGAGCACTAAGTTCACAAGTCGTGATTGTGAAGAAGAAACTTAACTATTGATATTTTGTCAGTCAGAGCTACTGTAGCAATGCTTTGTCTTTCACATTTCTTAATTCTTTCCCAGTTTATATTAAAACCGTTATCCCACTTACAGTTTCTTTTACTCTTTCTCTGTTTCAGAAAACTTCTTCTCCGGAGGAAACAAGAGAGGCTTTACAGCTTTGGCTTCCTAAGGAAGAATGGGTTCCAACCAACCCTCTTTTGGTACGCAAAGCTAATTGAACTTCACACTGGATCACATGTAACACAGATCTTTGGTCATCTAATCATCCTTGTCAGGGGCTGAGTTTTTGTTCGAGTTTCTGCTAAGTTATATGAATTTCCATTGGCTAGTTTACATCTTGATTTATTCAATAAGTTCTCTACCATTTATTTCTTCCCTGCAGTTGATAAGCATGTATGTTCTTGTGTTAGCCTGTAATCTAGCAGTTCCAAATCTACAGTGCCCATCTTATTTATTAACTGAATCATGTAGGCTTATGTTGGAATTTATTCAGGTGGGATTTGGACAAACAATTTGTACCCCAGTTAGACCTCACTGCGAAATTTGCAGTGTTAGCAAGCTCTGTCCACCTGCATTCAAGGAGATCTCAAGACCATCACCCAAGGTAAAGAAGTCTGGTCCAAGCAAGAAGCATTCACCAAATTAGCTTTTCAAACAGCCATGTCTATATTGTTTGGCTGCCATACAGTCATCTTTTTTTGGCTTCCATATTATTGCCTGACGACTAATAGTTTGTGGATGCTTACTTCAGACTAAAAGTAGCTTTAGGAGTTCATTAGGCAGACTTCTGGAAAGGATACTTTCGGGTGTTTATATATTTTTTGAATTATAAAAGCAATTCTCAAATCCTCTTGATTCTTGCAGCAAGTTTTGCAACTGAGTTTCACTCAAATTACAGCAGAAAGGGTAAAAGACAAAAGCATTTCCCACTAAAATATAACACTTTGATATTCTGGGTAAAAAATAAAGAACTTCTGCCATTAAACAGATTAAATGACCAAAATATCTCTATACCCATTTTTAAATGAAATCCCAGATACATGCTCATATCAGTTAAAAAGACAGCTTTTTATAACCAGAGCGCGCTTGTTGAGGTTCTGATACAGAGAAAGCGAAAGTCTATTTTTTTTAATGCTATAACTTCAAGTAAAGGCTGACTGCCATAACCAATATTCAAACTCCCTTTGAACAAGGAAGAGGACGTAACCCGCGGCCAGCACTATAAACAATGTTGATATTGATTGTGACTACATTAGAACCCCTTCTCAGTTCAGTACATGCATCCAGAGATTGAAGTCTCCGAAACCACATTCAAAGTTTAAGGAGATTTGCAAATACAACTCACAGAAAAATTCAGTGGTCTTGTAGGATAACATTCCATCCTCTGATAGGGCCTTAGACAGCTTGACTAATCTTGTTCTTCCGCCACAGCCAATAACTGGCTCTCAGGGGATCCTTCCGCTCCAAAACAGAACAAACCGCAACAACCAAGCTGGAGTCTAATGGATCTGAATCAATCCTTAAAGCATCTACAGCATCTGTAAACTCTTTGTTCGGTTGGAAACCATGACAGAGAAGATCCAAAAGCGTGCACAGAGCAAACACACAATTGGTTTTGGACTGAAGAACCTTCAAACAAACTTTAGAAACTTGCGAATCATTGATCCACGACTCTGTATTACCTTTGTAGAGGCCCCTAAGGTATCTCCATGGGCTTTCATTCTCAGGGTTGGCTAAAATGGCTTCAATGGTATAATGTACTTCAGACTGTCTCATGGCTTCTAGACCTCCCAGGAAGAGCGATCTAGTGATAACAAAATATCTCTGTTGCATAGAACTTACAAACCTAAATTAACTTTCGAGGCAAAGAGAACTAAATTTTTATGTAAAAGGAAAGCAAAAAACTGATTATCATAGCCTATCCATGGTAATTGATTCATGGTTATTACCACATTATATTTTTATCATCCAGCTAAAATCAGCAGTTACAAAACCAATAAGCAATACCTGATTCCATGCAGAATTATTGCAAACATCTTCTTTGAGCAGCTGCTGACAATAGTGAAGTTCATCTTCCCATCCTCCCAAGGCCTGAAGAACCCACTGCATAAAACCTACTTCTTAATTTTCTTTTTTGGGATTTCATTTCTCAATTTTGAATGTGAAGAAAAAGAAAAAAAAAGTTGTAAGTAATATCACAGAAGAGAAAACCATAGGTCATGTCATGTAATTAAATACAGTCCTGGCTACAAAACAACAAGAAACATGTCTGTGCAACCAACCATGACAATTTTAGCTCCAAGAGAGTATTTTTTTTGTCAACTCAAGTTTTTTACTCGCAAATATCAGCTCCCAATGATGGCTACAGAAAAGCCACAAACCTGTCTGTGTGACCATGCAAGATAGTTTTTAGCATCAAGAGAAAGTATTTTCTTCGTAAATTCAAGTTCTTTACTCGCTGCATCAGCTCCTAATTTCTCGGCAGCCCAACGTCGATGGTGCCTACAACAGGCAAAAACAAAAGAGAAGAGTTTAGCCTCATTATCAAGTTGGTGGTGCAGGGTTCAAGTAAGAGTCAAATTCAGCGTCTATTAGCAAATCAGATAGAACCCAAATTTCCAAGCTTGTTGCAACCCCAAAACAGTAATTGACAATAGCTTGAATCTCTGTATTTTTTAAGATGCTCTTGGGTTTTGGTTTATGTAAGGTTTCTGGCTCACCCCCAAGGTGGCAGCATATTGTTATCTTTGTAGATTAAAGTGTTCAATTAACCTTCGTAAAACCTTGCCTTTGTCAATCGCCCAAGTATGTTTTGTTGCAAGAATTTTGGTCTGCATTTGTTAACTTTGAGATAAACTCAATGAAACAAAATTATTTCGGTTATATGCCTACCATAACTGATAGTTTTTGGAATTATTCTTGGCAATTCGCTCAACAAAATCCAGTTCATCATGCAGATCTGCATTAAGTGCCTCAAGTACTACACGCCTGAAATGCCACACCTACAGAGAAGATAAAACAAACTTATGTTAGGTCAGTTATATGGAAGAGATTAGCAAAACTTTCCCAAGAGTCAAATATTCACATATGTTTCTAACAAGTTAGTTAAACATAAAAATATACTTAAAAATGACTGCAATGATGAAAATGAAATTTGAAGAGAATAAAATTAGATCTCTGCAGGTTTTTGACAGTTCTCTTTTAGCCAAGTGGCTTCAGAAGTTTATATATTGTAAACGCAATTTGTGTAAGAAGATTATTATTGCAAAGTATTACTTGGAGAGAAAAGGGTGGACATGGCACTAGCTTTTACAGGTGGCTAAGCAGGAACTAGAATCTGATGGTCAATCTGGTGCATTTTAGGATAGGCAATGTAAGATGGTTTCTGGCATAATCTTACAAGAACTGAGGGTTCAATTCTTGAGACTCTTTAAGCTTGCTAGACATATAGATGCTTCAGTCAAGGATCTCTTGAGCTGGGACAATCTCATACCCGGCTACAATATCTTACTTTCTTACAATCTGAATGATTGGGATATTGATAACTTAGAGACATTACTGCTAATGTTATTTTGATGCTAGGTTGATATCAGTGTTTCTAACAACCCGGTCTGGTTGTTTGAAGAATGATGAATTCTTTGTTAATTCTTCTACCTCAACCTTGCCAATTTGAAGTTGCTTTCAGATTTTCTTGGAAGTAGATTTAGGAGAAGAAGGTCTCACATAGTATACATAGCTTTCTTTGCTTGGGAGGTTGCCTGGACAAAATTCTCACCTATGAGAACCTTAGGAATAGAGGGAGAATTATTGTGAATCACTGTCTACTGTGCCTCCATTTGAATGAAACCTTAATCATCTACTCTGGTGCCCTCAGTTTAGGGAACTATGGGATCGGCAGTTAATATACTCAATCTCTCTTGAGCGGCTAACAGATTGGTGGCAAAAGAAACGTGGGCTTGGGATGGTATATAGGTAACAAAGATGGAGAATCTCATCACTTTTATTCTTTTGGCCTACATGGGTGATCTTGTTTTGGTAATATTCTAGATCAATAGTTTCCAAACCCTGAGTAATTGATTCAGAGGTCAACATCCTTAGGGAAGGATCTTTTACATTATAGATATCATGTATTATTCCAGATCTAATCCTTTTTCACAGGGGCCACACACCCTTGGTGCTTTGTTTATATTCTTTCTCTTTTTCTTTGAAGAAAAACCTTTAAGATTTTCTAAGAAAGCTATTTTTATTTATACTTGTTTACTTCACAATCACATACCATCTTACACTTTTTCATGAATAAACATTTCAACTAATATATAGATTTAGGAAATAAGAGCTAAATAATAACTTCATATACCAAATGGAGCATGAGTAATTTTGATAAGCGCAAGATGCATTTTCATCATGATCACAGCCTTAAACTTCCAACTTTTAGATTTTTATCATATACGTAAAAGAAGTTGTCGCTTGTTCTATATATTATCATAAACGTGCAGTCCCAAAGTTTTCCCACACCTTTTCAAAAAGTCTACCCATGTGAGAATTCGACCCCAGCCATTTTCAGCAATAAACTTCAGCCCGTTCAATTCAGTTTCTCTTAGAAACCCTAAATTACGATTTCTTTAAGCATCAAACCCATATTTCCTTGATTCTTTTTTCTCACGAAATCATTTAGAAATTCGTGTCGATAAACTTATTGAATCTATCCTGTTTATCAAGTTCAAGCACATTACAAGACGATCAGATGAATTCCAAGACAAGTATAGTTAATAAAGGCTACAAAAGATCTTCACCTAAAAACTTCCAAGTATAACCAACAAACCTATCTTGCAAACAATCTAGCCACACAGCAGGTTTTTCTTCAAATATAATTTTGATATTGAAGCGTGTGTATATAGATAAAGAACACCTTCCAGAGAAAACCTAAGCAATTTCCTCTCAAGTCTTGACAGTTCAAAAACACAAAAGCAATGCATACTTATGAAATGAATGGAGGCTTACAGTGTAGTTTCCAGCATTGAGATAGATGGCCTCTTCGGTGAGGTGGAGGGCGCGAAGGGATCGCTCATTGGCGTGATAAATGGCGCGAAAATAGTCCATTGTTTCTCTGAAATCTTCCTTGTACGCGATCGGCACAACCGGGTTTGGGCCGTCGTCTTGTGGGATTGGAATCACGTCCGACCATTCTTCCCTCCGGCTCAGTGGCACTTTCTCTTGCGTCCCCGCTTCCATCTCCATCTCACTTTCTGAACAGACTTGCTCGACGAGCGGCAGCAGCAGAGGAATAAAAACATTTTGTAATTTTTATTTCTTAAATTTATATATTTTACGAAAATTTTGATTAAAAATAGTCCCTACACTTTTTTTTCCCGATTTGCTGTATTATATTTAATTGTTATAATTAAGTTTGTAATTTTCTTATTTAAACAAATCATTTCTTTACTTAATTTATATTTTTAAATCATTAGATATTTTTAGTCATATTGATAATATAATTTCATGTGGATTAATAAGTTTCGTTAGAATTTTTTTTTTTATTTTAAAATTTAGTTATATTGATAATATAATAGTGTAATTATAAATGTCTCACCCTAGGCTGTGATTAACAATTAAATTCAAAAGATCAATAAAGAAAGCTTTTGCTTTAAATTAGCTCTACTAATTTTTTAAATTCTTTACATGTTGATAATGGTGTATTTTTTATATAATCATGATTGTTTTTTATTTAATTTTTTGTTAGTTTTAAATAATTTTTATTAGTTTTTCATTTGATTTTAATTTATTTAATCACTTTAATTTATGTTATGAATTTTAGATGATTTTGAGAGAATTTAGAAAGTTATGAATGAAGGCACAAAAATGGTAGAAACTGGCATGCTCATGTAAGTGCTGATACACATGTGTCCTAGAGTTTCTCTCTTCATAGAATTTTGAAGACAAAATTCGCATGGGGCAAGTGCATGGTCATGCACTTGCCCATGTGGGAAAGATAGAATTTTTAGGTTTCTAAAATGGCTCAGGATGTTTTATTCTCTTTCCTATTTTACCTAGGATTTGTATTTAGAAAATTTTGTTATTTACCCTAATACATATAGGATATATTTTTAGTATTTTAGGAGCACTCTTTTAATTCAAAGGTTGTTCTAAGTTAGGGTTTCTTTTTTTTTTCTTCTTCCTGGAAGACTCAAAACTCTATTAAAGAGGAGATCAAGCTCAAGACAACGACACAATCCCAAGTTTGATTTCGTTTTACTATGTTTTCTTTTAGTTTCAGTTTTTGTTTTCTCAATTTAATTATGGAATAGATTTCTTTTGTTAGGAAAAACATGAACCCTAAACTATGATGGTATTGATTTTGATTAATGATATCTGAGTTAATTTTATGCAAAATCATTGAGTTTAATACTTTTATTGATATTTTGTCGAATAAAGAAGTTAGAATTTCAATTGATGGGATTTCAATACATGATTATTAGGGTTTCGGATAACATGTTTAATAACATATTTTGTTCTAATGGATAATCTGAAATTGACCTGTGGTATGTATTCGTGTTCCTGAATATGATTGGATAATTAGATTGATTTATATGCAAATTTTTATGAAAGTGTTCTTGAATAAGAATTTTGTTTAAATCTGAAAGGTTATGTCCTTAAAAAAAGTTAACCAGGATTTAAAATTTAACTTGTCAATTTTCACTCAGATTTCATTATCAATATTGACATCTAGACAAACTTAGGAGGATTGTGGATTCTAACGTTGTTTTACTAATTAATTTATCTTTGATTTACTATGGTTATTAAATTTTTTATAATTTTATTTAGTTTTATATTTATTTTAATTCACTTTCATTCAATCATTATTTCTCAAATAACAGTATAATAATTGATTTATAAAATTTGATCTTCGTGGGATGCTATTCGGATTCTTATATCTTATTACTGATATGACTAATGCATTTTCTAGTATTGTCTAGGACGCATCAAGTTTTTGGTGCTATTGCTGGGGACCCAAGATTTATTTAGAAATTATTATATTGTTATTAGCTATATAATATGAAATTTTTAATTTTTAATTTGTTTCTCTTATGTTTCAAGCTTTACTAGTGTACAACCAGAAATTCTAAAAAGTCATTAGCAGAATCTGATCCGGAACCTGAACAAACTTTTCATTCAAGAAGAAGAGCAAACCATAAACTCAACATGGCAGAGAATCAAAATAATATCCTTGAAGGAGGTGAGAACAATAATGCTACTTGAGATGCTCAACCTATTCGCACCATAAGAGACTATGCCATGCCATCATTAGAAGGCACAAGTCCGACTATTTTGAGACCTACCATTCAAGTTAACAACTTTGAGAACAAGCCAACAATACTACAGTTGATCCAACATACTTGTCAATTTGAAGGATTGCCTAGTGAAGATCCACACTAACATAGGTAATTTCCTCCAAATTTGTGATTTTTTACTACAATGGAGTTTCTAAAGATGGAAAGAAGCTAAGACGTTTTCCTTTCTTTTTAAGGGATAAAACACAACACTGGTTACAATTATTACTACCAAACTCCATAACTACTCGAAATGCATCAGGGAAAAAATTCTTTAGTAGGTATTTTTCAACTTCTAAAATTGCACAATTAATTAATGAGGTTGCTAAATTTTCGCACGAAGATTCAGAGACCTTATATGAGGCATGGGAGAAATAAAAAGATATGCTAAGAAGATGCCCTCAAGAGGAATTCTCTATATGGCAGAAAGTACAAACCTTCTATAACAGAATTAATAGCCAAATTAAAAGCATGATAGATGCTTCATGTGGAGGTTTAATATATATGAAGTCACTTGAAGAAGCTTATGAATTGATCGAGGAGATGGCTGCCAACTTAAGTGAATGGCCTACTAAAAGAAAAACTATAAGGAAGGCAACTATAATTTATAATATAGATATTTTTATAGGATTAATAGCTCAAATGAAAGCATTGAATAAGAACTTACACAGGCTACAATTGTAAAAATCAACTGTAATGCCAGCTGTTTGTGATTCTTGTGGAAGAGGGCACTCAAATCAAGAGTGTCGATCATGTAACACATTTGTTGTTAATAATGTGCTTGAATAAGCTAATTTTGTTAATAATTTTTGTAGGCAAAATAGTATTTTCAGTAATACTTATAATCTTGGTTTGATAAATCACCCAAATTTCTCATGGAATAACAATAATAACAAAGGGAGACAGCCACCACTAGGATTCCAACCTCAATAGCATCCTCCACCACAAGAAAAGAAATCTAACTTGGAGGAGCTGATGACAAAGTTCATTAACTTTGCCAAAGCGAGGTTGCAAAACCATGAGGCTTCCATGAAGAATTTAGAGACACAAATTGGACAGCTTACCAATGCCATTGCAGGTCAAACTCAAGAGTAACTTAGAGACTAATCCCATAGAGAATGTAAAAGCCATTACACTCAAAGATGGGAAAGTGTTAGAGGAGCCAAAGCAAAAGGTAAGAGTTGATAAGGTGATTCAATCAAACCTAGTTGAGGTAAGTGTGGAAGAGCAAGGTAAGAAAAATACTAACTCTACGATTCTCAATTCAAACTTTAATGTAGATGTTGATAAGTTCCTTACTCAGATAGAATTATGAAGGATAAGAATGATGTTAAGTTTGCTAGATTTTTAAAGATTTATAAGAAATTACATATTAACATTCTATTTATTGAGGCTTTGATGCAGATGCTACAATATATAAAATTTCTTAAGGATATCCTTTTTAATAAGAGAAAGATTGAGGAATATGACATGGTAATGCTTACTAAAGAGTGTAGTTCCATTATACAAAATAAGTTACCTATAAAGCTTAAGGATCCAGGGAGTTTTTTAATACGTTATTAGCTAGGCTAATTTAAATTTAAAGATGCACTATATGATTTTGGTTATAGTATTAACCTAATACCATTATCTGTTTGTAGGAGACTCAACCTTGGGGAGATGAAGGAGACACGCATGGTTTTGCAGTTTGCAGATAGATTAACTAAAAGACCTGTGGGAATCATTGGATATTTTGGTAAAAGTATGAGAGTTTATTTTCCCTATAGATTTTGTTATGCTTGATATGGATGTTGAGTATGAATTAGCATTGATTCTAGGTAGACCATTTTTAGCCACAACTAGAGCATTAATAGATGTAAAGAATGGTAAATTAGCCATTACGTTTAATGAGGAGGAGATAGTCTTTGATATCAAGAAGGCAATGAAAAATCCTTCTATTAGTTTGGATGATATGTGTTGTGTAATTGATATTATTGATGAGTGTGTAGATGAAAAACAAACAACAAATCATTATAATGGAGAATAATTTAGAGAGATGTCTCATACTATCAAGCATAATTGAAGAGGAGGATTCTGACTTGAAAAAGGAAGTGATGAGTTGGAAGGTGAATCTCTATCAGACGTTGTGTTAGGAACACAGGCAGAGCCACATGTGGAGATAATAAAAATAGAACTTATGCCATATTTTGAAGGGTGATTCAATCTGGCAACTATAGCCTTCAAAATTGAGAGATTGAGCTCCAAAAGAAAGTCAAACGAATTACTATAACTTAGAACTACTTCTCCATCCTTATATTTAATTATGTCTTTTCTTAGTTTTAATTTTTAGGAGTAATTATTCTTCGTTTGCAATATATTTAGTCAATTATGAGCGGAATATTTTAGTTTAAACATGAGGTCGTTTCTTGGATCTGTCTCATGGGATAGTCTACGTAATTTTTTTTATCACTTGGCAAGATTTTGGAGGTGTTAAACATGACAAACAATAGAAGGCAGCAAGCTGCATGAGAATCACCATGGTCATGCAATCGCTCATGCACAATTAGACTTAACCAAAAGAGGGGACAACAAGGTGCATACTCATTTACATGGTCATGCATACAGTTTTACAAAAAAAAAAATTGAGTGACAAAAGAATGAGAGTTTTAGGTAGCAAACGACATAGGCAACTCCATGCCCATGCTAGTCTAAAAAAATAACAACTTTAAAAACAAAAAGAACCCTAACTCTTCTTTTATGTTTTATCCCTTACAGCTGACACCCATACGACCAAAAACAGTCGTCGTTAGCCAATCCGATTGTCATCCACTAACACCTCACAAAACATTTTCAGAGGAGTATTCTATACTTTTATACTTCAATCTTTATTATCTCCTTTAATTATTCTTCTTAACATTGAGGACGATGCTTATTTTAAAAGTGTGGGGTAGAGTAATTGAAAATTTT